CCATTGCAATAAAAAAGCAACAGCAACCTCTGAGCAGGAAAACATTTCTGTAATGGACTCTTGCAAGAGATTACAGCAAGACAATAAAGAGATCTCCCATGTTTCTCACACGTTTCTCTCCCATTGTCATTTTGGATTCCTTTCTTTCAGAACTTTCTCATGTCTCAGTTGTCTACTTTTATTTCTCCTAAGGATTTTTAGGAGAAACATCTGAGACACTGTTGAGACTAAAATGAGAAATACATGAGATAAACATCACAACTAAGTCTCCTGAGGTTAGAAAGAGCAACCACTGAGCAATAAAATATTCCTATAATGGAGTCTTGATAGAGATTGCAGCATGACAATAAAGCGATATTCTATGTTTCTTCCACCATATTCTCTGTTTTGACTCTTTTTTTTCAAATATTTCTCATGTCTCATTTGTGTCTACTTCTATTTCTCCTAAGGAATTTTAGGAGAAACATCTGAAATGCTGTTGATACTAAAATGAGAGATATATGAGAATCTCATCTAAGTCTCCTGAGCTTAGGAAAAGCAACCACTGAGCAATACATTTTTCCTATGGGTAGGTGCCATTTTTGGACCCTATGACAATCATTTCGAAAACAGTATTCAAAATGTGGTTCGGGATGCCAGATTTTCTCATGAGAGCACCTAGGAGGGGAAGTAACATTCAACATCATCTGTCTCTCTGTGTCGATACTGAGCGAGACAGATGGGTTGCGGGTATTACTCGCCATTTCATAATCGTCCCCACAGGGACTGCAATCCCTAGACAGCCCCATCCCTGGCCTGTTTTCCTTCCTTAAGATGCAGCACACGCAAAATTGTATCTAAGACTGGCAGACATAGAACATCTATTAAAAACTTTTATTCATTCAGCTCAGATAGCCAATGTGAGTTTTTTTACACAGTGATATTACACAACATTGACTCCTTTTGAGTTCGCAATTGTTGCGCTGACACCAGCAGGCTTTGTTGTCGCAGCTGCGCTGGAGATTAGTGGTTGAATTCTCCAAGACTTGTGTAATTATATCATCACTTGGTCGAGCCGGCCAGTGAAAGGTTCTGGTTTTACAGGCGATCAGGACAGATTAATTACCCATTACATGGTGAGCATTTAAAAATACGACATTTGGTTTCATCTGGGAAAATCTTATCTGACTGCAGGTTTAACCAGCGCACTATTGACTCACCGAATGGTTGTACGACCCTGTACACATATATAGTTCAGTGGTGTAAACATGATCCATTAATCTGTCTACAGGATGGATCAGCACAGGGGCGTAGATTACGCGGGGGACGTTTCCCCCCCACTTTTAATATCACGTAAATTCATCCCCCGCACTTTTTCAGGCAAGTGTGTTCGCATGGAGGTTTTCAAGAGCCGGTATGAATAAATATAGATTTCAATTTAAAGAGACAGGATATAGTCTGTGCATGATCTGATGTTTTATTCGGACCCAGAATTAGGCGAGATGAACATCGCGGAGCGCTAAACACTCTGTACAGTGTATGTTTCATTCATACTCGAAGCCAGAGGGCGCTCTCATGCAGAAAGTCTTACCAGAAAATTCCTAATATGGACAAAAGCGCACATGTGTGTATTTAAGAGGAAAGCCATGTTAACTTCACCGTATGTGAGAGATTTACTCTTTAAAATTTTAAGGATGGAGCACTTGCCATATTTCAAACCAGATTGGTCTCAACTGGCCTGTTATGAATATCTGAACATAGGTTCAACTTTTCAGCAAGCTGTAAAAAAAATCAAGATCGATAATAACTGAGGTAAAACGTGTGAAGAAATTGTGAAGAAAAAACAAAACAAAACATAAGATGGGACAAGATTTTTCTCAATTGATTCTCCAAAACACCAACAAGAACAAATGGAGACTGTTGCTGAGTTTCCTGCTTTTCTAGTAAAAACACCCTAGTAATTTCACATGTTGAACATCCATGTTTCTTAAAATGGTTAATATATGAATTCAGAATAAATGTGACAAAAAAAAAAAAATTACTTTATAAATGATGATCTCTTAGAAGTTAGAAAACAAAACAAAAAAGGTTTAAACAATATAAAAAAATTAATAAAAATAAAAATAAAACGGTTGGCATCCATGTTTCTTATTTACAAAACGTTGCAGGTTATTATTTAGGAATGACGCCTGTATTCCAAAAAGGAACAATAATTTAAGCAATTTAAGCCATATTTACATGTGACTGTCAATCAAAAATGTTTGTAGTGTGTACACTTCGCCATAGTATATTTCAGTTCTCTCCTCTCTGAAAAAAGCATCCTCTGTGCCATACCAGCAGCTACTTAAGATTTTTAAAATAGCGTTTTAACCAATTGCTCCATGCAAACTCAAACATTGCGATTCAGACAGAAATTAAATTACCAAATGACCCTGGTTTTTGTAACGGTCAATTACCCTTGATGTGGTCTGCAATCAAAAGTTTTTCCAAGGCCAAATTATGTAGGGCATGCTATCTGCATTAGTTTTTATTGCTGTAAACTCTTGCTAAATGTCATCTATTGTCTCGTTTTTTTGGCTATTTTTTTATTTGTAATAGAGACACAGTTGATCCTCCAATGAAAAATAACTACTTACAATACTGTATAAAAGAGCAACTGTGCAGCAATTTTCTCAGTTTAATGTACAAAGTTTATGCACTATATTACTCTATAAGCGTAATATTTGCAGGTGAAAACTATACATAGAAAATACTTAATTCTGTATAGTTTTACACCAATTCACACTCACTAAGCCTTTGCAAAGCCCTGAACACAAACAGATGCACAGTGTATTACAGCATTCTTGCATTAGTGCTTGATTTACCCCTCTGCTTTAACTGCAAACCAAAATAAGCCACAGTAAGGCTGGGCTTTTCAAAGCAGCACAAAAAACTGAATCCAGCCATCACAACTTTCATCTCCTAATATTGCCTTTTCTGAGCAATAACAGTTATGTTTGTCACGTATGACTAGCTTCCTTTGCAGTGTTTTCCAGGACCTGTGTGTTTCTGTCCTTTTCTAGGGTAGGTCCTCGGTGAGCACCCCCTCTGTTGGATTCAGAAACCGAGTGCTCAACTTGCAGTGTTTACTTCACTTGTCGATATGATGTCCAGCCGGTATGATAACCTGGTTTCGGCTTCATGCTTCCTGGATCATGCGGCCAGGTCACAGGCTTCTGCGGGAGCCTTCCTGATCATCAGGCCCCCAGATGCTTGGAAAACTCTTAAATCCATATTATGGTAAGTGCACACGTTAAGCTTTGCGCACTTTCTAAAATCCACATAGTGGTAAGTGTGCACGGTATGCTTTGCGCACTTTTCTGAAATCCTGTATGGTAAGGGTTACGCGTTATTAGCCTCGTTCCCTTTCTCTGAGTTGGTTTATACCCCGGTATCATATATATTTTTAACATTTTCAAAAATATATAATTTTGTGTTCTACAGGTTCATACAGATTTGGAACGACGTTCATAAAGACCAAAGTCTTCTGTAAATGTGTTCAGTAAAGGTTCTCAAGGTCAACGGAATCCTTTTTCAGATGTACTGGTGATATGCAGCTTAACCACAAATCCCATCAGCCGCCATGACACTTTATCAATACCTCAAATGGGAGACCATTAACACCAGAGGCCATTAAGTTGACTCGCGTATCTGATCTATGACCATGCTTCTCAAACCAAATCTAAACTCTTGTATACCACAAAGCAAAATTGGTTTCAGATCAGTTATGGTGACTTACCTGTAGGATTTGTGGAGAGCAGGAGCAGAGCTTCGCAGGTCAGGTCAGCTGTTGCCCTGGAGATTAGCGTAATCCAGATGGTCAACACCTGCAATGGTGGTGCAAAGAAAGGAAATTTGTAGATGGAAAACAAAAGTGTGGCTTTAGCATCCATCTGGACATCCAGCAAGAGACAGCATACAATGGAAAAGTAAAGCAGGTCAACATCTGTCTCATGCTAATGCAGGTATGCCTGCCACACGGTTGTGCTTCTGAAGTCATACGCTAGCTATGTGTGAGGAACAGACTGAAATTTAAGTTGTTTTTCAAAGACGTGAAACTTTTCTTTCCTGCTGGTTTATTGGTTACCTGTAAAACCTTACATTTATGTAAATATAACTTGCCTGTTTACAAGTAAAGTCTACAGAATAAATTATTTTAATTTAGAGCCCCATGTAATTGGATGTATTATTTCCCAAATTCTGTGTTTTCCATTTTATTTTTTTCTGGATTATGTGTTTTAAGTAAACAAAACAAAAAAAAAAACTTTAAAAATTGTGAAATTAATTAATAAACCTTTAAACATTTAATATATATATATTTAAATTAATTTAATTTAAGTTTGCATTTGCATTTATTTTGTCAAATAAGGTACTGCACAACAGATCTTTTTATAAAACATGGAAAAAAATCTTGATAATATGAAACATAAACAAACAAACATACAAATAAATACATATTGTTGTTATTCTTATTACTTAGAGAGGTACATTTTACAATAGTAATATATTTGTCATAATTTCTCCAAGTTAAGCCAAACTTTTATTTTGGTTTTATTTTGGACCTTTGTGTTTCAGTATGTTTTTGACCATAGCTGTTATCAAATGAAATGGAAAAATGCTTATGAAGTGAACCGTAAGAACAGTTTTGGAGAAGTTCATGTAAAGTGAGGTGGCAGATGCTGGAAACACTATGAGCATCACACATACTTGAGTATGTGTAATGTAGGCTAAATATAGAACATTACTCAAATGTATCATCAACATCATTAACTCATGTTTTTAATGATAAATATAGATTTAAATTTACTGCCCTGCCCTAACTGTAGGTTTAAATGCACTTTAAAATGTACATTTCAGTCAAACATAAACAGTAATTTGTCTATTTATTATTATTAAAATTGTAATGTGAATTCTTCAGTCCAACTGATTTAGTCTAGACTCTTTAGTCTCAGACCAGTCAATCTTTCCAAAGTCAGACTAAACTGTAGCAGATGTTTACTGTATTTATGAGCTAAATATATGAAATTCAGTTTCTTATTTCATGTGCAGTTTACTTAAAGGGACAGTTCTTATTCTCATAAACGATGTAGCACTCAATGCTTCATTGCACAGTTATTTTATACTAAATTCTTTCCAACGTTTTAAAAAGATTTAAGCTCCAAGATGTATAAGATTTAATACCCCTGAGACCAGGGCTTTTGTTTCAACATTCATGTTCAGGAAACAAGAGGGAAAAATCACAGGTGTGACCTTTGTGCCCTAACATCACAACGACTAAATGATTCTCTCTAACCGAAATAAATGCAATTTATATTTTTCAAGCAGATTCATTACACATGTTTTACTAAACCACAGCTTTTAATGACTAATGGCTCTTTGAACAGCAAGAGAGATGGAGAGGTTCTGCTCGTGCTTGATTTGCTGTTATGCGATTGCATAAGTAGGCCGTCTCTAATTCATAGTCCTGGATACAGAGGTGTCTAGGAAAGAATAGGGATGAATGAAATTATATCACCTTCCTAAAATAGACATGGACAGCAATCTATGACTGAATCCAACACACTGCACTTCCATTCTCAGAGGGCTTGAGGCCTTCAGTCATAAAGTTTTCAAAGGCCCCACATGATCACATGACCTCTAAAAGCTTTCAGGGCCTGCTGGATGATCCTTCCACACACCATAATAAAACCATGAAAATTTATACCACCACCATGGATGCACTGGCTGCATTATGTCAGTGGAAAGCAGGTCTTTCAGCTGAGCGCTAAAATTTTTACTAGCTGTACAAAAATGACTGAAAGTTCCCAGTGGCATGAGGTGAACAGCCTGCTGTCTACTGGTCCATAACCTCCACCACATTAGGACAGGTTTACAGAGTTCAGTGTTGACAGCTCTAAAGACCGTCTGCAGCACATACTCAAGCTAGCGGGAGACAAACAGCGGGATTGAGGAGGGAAAAACGGAAGAAATACAGCCCCTGGTGTGTTTTATGAGCTGGCAGACTAACACTCCTCTCGCCAGTCGGCTGCTGGCTCACTCGCCAGTAATCTTCTTGAAGCCTTGAATTGCCTTTTCCTCAGGTCTTTCCAGAAACATCCCAAACGCTCATGCTATTTTTTCCAGCTCTCCCAATCCCTTCACTGTCTCTTTCACAGACTTCATCCAGGCTGGCTTGTTCCGCAAGGGCACCAAAGGCTGGTTTTGTGTCGAGGGACGGTTGTGCCTTCACACTTTCCTGTCACTTGGAACAGTTTCACTTCATCACCCTCAGTCACCAACACTGAAGGACCACTGTATAACCCATGTGCTGGACAGGATTGCCCATGAGGGCTTCAACTCATACTGTACGCACACAAAAGTTTGACAAACAACTAGAGAGCTTCGTGCTGACATGACCAGCAGGGGAGTAACTAACTAAAAGTTGTGTCGCTACTAACTTAACTACATTTTTCAGTAGCCTGACAGCAGTTAAGCTTAATGTAATAGTGTAACTTCTCCAGTAACAGTCTGTCACTTATGAAACATTTAGAAATCTGATTAAAGTGATTCAGTTCATTCAAGAGATGCATTTATATGAATTTATTCAAACAAATGACTCACTGACTTCCTGCAAAGATAAAAGATAAAAAAAGCCTAGATAAAAAAAAAAAAAAAAAAA